CATTTATTTTATTAATCTAATAGTATATAAAACTACTGTCACGTCGTCTCTAGTGCGGATTGTGGCCTCATAATTACCGTCTTCTTGCATTATATCCACAACCTCAAGAATATCACATTCAGCCTCATGGGTGATTTTCTCCTCAAGCGCACCCACAGGTGCAATAAGTATTTCCAGACCTGAGTCCACGAGGTCCGCAACATGGACACCTCTTTGAGACATCACCGAGCCAAAAACCTTTCCCTCCGGGGTCGTTGATAGCAACCCACTTGATGTCTTCTTCTGTAAGTTTAATGGCATTTGCTGCAAATGGAACCGCCTATAATAAAAAGCCAATAGCTGTAAACTTCATAATATCCGATAGTAGTAGATACCNAAATATAGACAGATATTGATGACTAATCGAGTGCACAAAAGCAAAGAGTGTCTTAGGTGTCAATACAGTATTTTCAGAGCGAATGTCGCATGTGTCTAATTCAAAAGTCGTACACACAAATTAGTATTGCACCTTTCCCCCTTAAAAAGTCGCAGGCAAAAACTTTTAATGTCGTAACTCACATTGTAAATAATTCGCTCTCTGCACTGAGAAAAAGTCGCAAGAGAACGTTTAAATAGTACGCAAGAGTTTTAAGTTTAAAATCGCACTTGAAAAAAATAGATTTCTCACATTGTTACAGTGTTTTTATTTTTATTTCATAGTAGTGCGACATAATTGTTCATACCAAAGCGACATTTATTATTCAAACCAACACGACATATTTATTCATGCCAGAACGACATATTTTTTCAAACCAGTGCGACATATTTTTTCAAACCAGTGCGACATATTTTTTTACATCACCTACTCACCCAAAGTAATCTCCGTACCTCTAACTCGATTGAAGAACCCGATCCTGTCGAATTAGGGCAATCATTTTAAGAGTATGGAATAACATCAAATCAGAATTATTTTTGTTTGAGCTTAGTCATTTCTTACTTTCATTTCTCAAAGGTTTTGCTGTCATTTTCTCAAGTTAAATGCCGTTCCCTTCCTATTCATTAATTTGGGGACTTGTACTTTAGAAAGATCTCAGTTCTAAACAGTGTTGCATATGGTCATTGGCATGTCTACAAAATCCTTGATAGCTTTCTAAGGTTATCTTTGCTGTCGCTTCTCTTACTCTTGGTGTTAGTTTCTCTTTTCTAGATAAATTTGACTGTTTAACCTTGGCCTTACACGCTGACCAGAACTCTTCAAATGCGTTTAGTCCTGGTAGATAGGGATGCAAAAACACTAGTTCCAATCCACTCAGTGCCACCAATAACTCGAGGTCACGACGTTTATGGATGGCTGCGTTGACAGGTATCAGATACTTAATTTCCTTAAGTTCCTCGTTTGTTTCAATTTCTCTAACCACAGACTTTACAAATTCAAAGAAATGATTGGCCGTGGTACCATTGAGTTTACAGATGACTTGGCGATTCCACTTTCTTTTCCAAGTATAAGCTGTTTGTAAACTGATATCTTTTGCTTGGGCCGCCTTGTAAGCAGATTACCCTTGTTCAATAATTAGTTGCTAGAATATTTGCTTCTGTGCTTCAGAGTAGTACCTATAAGGACTCTTTTTACGTTCACAACTTTGTTCTTCTTCAGAGTTAATGTCTACATCTACTTCGTCACATTTCATGTCGGATTGCAAGTTGTCAACTTCACTCTCATTTAGATGGAACGCTTCATTGTAGTCACTGTAACTAAAGCACGCTTCCAATGGGGCTATCTCACTTTCCAAATCCATCCGGTCTGGTTCCAAAGTGGAGCAATTACCAAGTCCATCTACATATCCGTCAGTGTGTAATTCCAGCTTGAAGTTCATTACGTCTTATAATAAAAACACATAAAAACAAAATTGTACCTCAATGGTATGAATAATTATGCGTTGGTATTAATAAAAAATAAACACTGTATTGGGTTATGATTAAGTTTGTTCAATAAAGGTCTTAGCATAATGTGAGGCATCTCTCTCTTTACATGTGTTTTTTTTTCTTCTGTATTTTGTGTTTTGGGTCTTGGGTTTTTGCATAGATTTTGGTCTTTTGAACAAAGGGTTCTTCTTATCATATACACGGATACTTTCATATGATAAATAAACTTAGTAAGGGGCTGGGTAATAATAATAATAAAAAGGAGTATGTGTGTGCGCAAAGATGTCAAATGTGATATTAATATAGTTAATGTATGTGTAGGGGTTAATGTACCATTACTTTTATTTAAATTCTCAACGTGTTTTATTTTTTACTTTTATTTTTGGTGTTTTACGTGTAAATTGGTTAATCCCGACAATTTGGACTGTTAAACTGTATCGGAGTTTTATTTTGTGCAATTGAAATAACGCATTAATCGGAATTAATGAAGTTTAAAGTGAATTACTATTATACCAAAGTCCTAAAATCTGTCATTAACATTATAATAATAACCGATTGTGCATAAAATCCGTTGAACTATTATTATTTTTGATGAAAAGGGGATAAATAAAGCAAAAAAAAAAAAGAGAGAGAGAAAGAGACAAAATCAACTTTGTTTTGTAAAATCACATGCAATTAGGAACAATTATGAGACAATAATTGTATTAGGATTATGAAGAGGATGTTGAAAGTTGAAGTAAGTGTAGGGCGTGTTTGAAAAACAGAGAGAGAAAGGGAGGCGTGTGAAAGTTTACTGTATGTATATGTCTAGTGTTTGGTTTAATATTATAATATGTGATATATAGAATTTACCCTCAAACGTATTTACTTATTTGCTATTGCTGTTGTTACAAGCAATTGGTATTTGTAGATGTTGTATGTGTGTATGTGTGTCATTGAAAAACTAAAAAAATTATGTGGGGTAAAAAGAAAAATAAAATTAAATTACATCATCCTCATCGTCAACAGCTCCTAACCAATCATTTATTGCTTAATTAAGGTATTTTGTTTTATTTTCATTAGTATTAAAAAATTTGGGGAAAGGTTATACGGATAGATAGATAGATAGATTGCTACCTTACTTTGTATGTTCCCCGAGTAGTGGTCATTCGTATGAGATTCTGTTGGGTATCATCTTTACTTTAGGTTCAATTTAACATACCTTACATTATTATTACTACCTACTAGTTACTTACTAAACAAAAGGGATGAAACAATAAGAATAAACGTTAACGTCAGTTTAGCAACAGCTTTCTGTTAGCTGTTAGCTCATCTATATACACTACACACACTCTATCTCTTCTCTTCTCTTCCTTTCCTCTTAGGCTTAAAATTTAGGGGTTATTATTATTCGTTCCATGTGTGTCTTATACTATTGTTTTCTATCTTTGAGTAATAGTATACTGAATTTGTAAATTTACCCCACTCTCGTTTCCTTTGACAATAGTACACGACTAAATAACAATAGAATAGGAATAACAGTACAATATATATAATCTCCGATGGTAGCATACGGAGTAAATACACAAAAATATAAAATAAAATAAAATAAAAATTATCATCGTCTATGTATACATTTTACAATTTATATATAAATATACCAACCAAATTCCCTTTTCTCAGCCTATAAACATTTATTTCTCTTTTTTTGCCTACTCTGAATTCAACACTAATTTTAACACTTATACATACACACATTATCAATCCACCACCAAAACAACAACTCCTACATATACACACACCTAACTATGTCTTCCATAATAGATCAAGCACAAGACTTTGGTCAAAATTTGCTTCCATACTTGACCAAATGGTACACTATTGTGTTCCTTATACTAATCACTTATATCCCCTTATATAACCTTAAAAATGCTTACTCAGCTTGGAGGTTGGGCTGTCAAAATCCACCAAAATTCCGCCAAGCTGGGTTCACTGGTGTATTTGGTTTGATTGAAGCAGTGAAGAAGAAAAATGCGGGCAGATTGGCTGATTGGGGAGATGAACAATTCCAGTATTATCCACACCATTCCATGTATTTAAATGTTGTTGGCTTATTAAAGATTGTCTTTACAGTTGACCCTGAAAATATCAAGGCAGTGTTGGCTACTCAATTTAACGACTTCTCATTGGGTACTAGACATGCTCATTTGGCCCCACTTTTAGGAGATGGTATTTTCACCTTGGATGGTAATGGATGGAAAGATTCTCGAGCTATGTTGCGTCCACAATTTGCTAGAGAACAAATTGCTCACGTCAAGTCATTGGAACCACATTTACAAATTGTTGCCAAGCACATTAGGTCTAACAACTTTAAGACATTTGATTTGCAAGAATTATTTTTCAGATTTACCGTTGATACTGCCACCGAATTTTTATTTGGAGAATCAGTCCATTCATTATACGATGATAAACTAGGTATTTCCCCACCAAATGATATCCCTGGAAGAGAAAACTTTGCTGAAGCATTCAACAAGTCTCAAAATTACCTTGCATCGAGAGCTTATATGCAAATGTTTTATTTCTTCATCAATCCAAAGGAATTTAGAGACTGTAACAAGAAGGTTCAACATTTGGCTCAATACTTTGTCAACAAGGCCCTTAACTTTACCCCAGAAGAATTGGAAGAGAAATCAAAGGATGGCTATGTTTTCCTTTACGAATTGGTTAAACAAACTAGAAACCCACAGGTGTTACAAGACCAGTTGTTGAACATCATGGTTGCTGGTAGAGACACCACTGCTGGATTATTGTCGTTCACCATGTTCGAATTGTCAAGAAACCCTGAAGTTTGGCAAAAATTGAGACAAGAAATTATCGAAAACTTTGGAGAAGGTGAAAATGCCAAGGTTGAATCCATTACTTTTGAAACTTTGAAGAAATGTGAATATTTGAAAGCAGTGCTTAATGAAACCCTTAGGTTATACCCATCAGTCCCAGTCAATTTCAGAACTGCCACTAGGGACACGACATTGCCTCGTGGTGGTGGTCCAGATGGTACCAAGCCAATCTATGTTCCAAAAGGATCCACTGTTGCATACTCCGTTTACGTAACCCACAGGTTGGAAGAATACTACGGTAAGGATTCGAGAGAGTTTAAACCAGAAAGATGGGAAAACATAAAGAGATTAGGCTGGGCTTACTTACCATTCAACGGTGGTCCACGTATCTGTTTAGGTCAACAATTTGCCTTGACTGAAGCTAGTTATGTTGTTGCTAGATTAGCACAAATGTTCCCCACCTTGGAATCACAAGATGACGTCTATCCACCAAAGAAATGTGTACATTTGACTATGAACTTGGACGAGGGTGTCTTTGTCAAAATGAAGTAAGAGTGAAAAAAAGTAGCAGTTTTATTTAGAGAGAAATACGGTTCTATTTTAGAGAAATGGAAAAAGTGTATAGGGTTCCCTTATTTAATTGAATATTTGTATTTATAAACTAACATATTTCTAATCTTTTCTATAGTTATCATTAATAGTTCATAAACTTGTTGGTTTGCGATTTATCAACACCATAATTACTCCCCTTCAACACCAATCCTTTTGTCTTTATCTCTTTCAAAAACTTCAACTGATGATCCTTCTTAAACTTTAAGTACTCCAACACTTGTGGATTGGTGTTTGTAGTGTTTAAATCCAGTTCTTCATCGAGATTGTAATGGGCAGTGGTAATGGTGTTGGTGTCGTGGATTTGGGGCAAGTTTTCTTCATCAAGTATCACATCGTCGATATTGATACTGATGCTTTTGGGTAGAAGCTCGTGTTGGTTTTGATTAGGTAGAGGTGTATTTAGGGTCGAGCTGATTAGTTGCGTCATGGTTGGTGGTGGTTGAAGTTGTAGATTGTCGTTATCAGACGACAGCTTTTCAATTAGGGCTCGCTCATAATCTTGAATCTTATCTAGTACTTGAGTTGGACATTTATCAATCAATTCCTGTGGGGCTAGCGTAATCATTTTGGTGGAGGTGGGAGGGTAAAGTCGATTTCAATGGTTGTTATCTTAAATTTGCATTTGGTGAAGATGAAACAGTCAGTGCTCCAGAGACTGCCGCTACCAGATGAATTTTAAAAAGGAAACCAACCACATTATCTACATTGTCTTGCTGTCTTGTTGTCTCAAAGTGGTTATACATATTCATTACTACTTTACCATACTTACTAGCTAAAGAATTTGCACATATTTTCAGCTAAACTCACCGAAGTAGTTGAGAGAAAAATGTTAACCCGGAACGTTTTCAAGCTACTACTCAGTATCAATCACTTGACCCAACCAATACTTGACATCGTCACCTAGATTTTCCAAAAAGCCTAAACTTGCATAATCGGAAACAAGTCCAGCAATTTGATTTACCATAGTTCGATCTTCAGGTGGTATAGTCCCACCACCACCACCACCACCACCATTCGCATAACCATTATTTTTGCTATTATTTTTGATAATCACAATCAATTTCGTGCCATACTTGATTATATAACTCATCCAATCGTGCTTATTGCCCAATGTAAATTTATGATAAAATTCATGTGCCGTGAAATCAAAGTTTTCAGAAATCTTAATCAATTGATCATGGATATTGACTATGGTGGGATACTTGTCATCGTTTTGATAAAGAACTAAAGGTATTGATGATGTGTAATGCATGTGCTTAAAGTCAAACACCGTGTATAGAAAGTTGCCATCGATAGTGGCCAAGTTTAGCGTGTTCATGGATGTAGTGCTTGTACCCAAGGTTGACGCTTGATATTGAACAACTTCTTCCCTTAATGGTTCAAGGATGGTAGATGCCAAATGCAGGTAGAACTGCGCATCGTCAAGACGAGTTGTGTCCAGAGAGTCATATACCAAAGTTATGTAGATATCATCGTGGAAATATGTCACTAATTGGTATTCCGACTCGAGTGAGGATTTATTTGTAGCCACGTCCGAATCATCCTTCTTCGAGGGGAGATAGACAAGTTTTCTCAATATGGATCGGTCTCGTTGCATACCATGTAAGAAACGGCCAAATACATCCTCTCCCAGGTTCAATGACTCTTGTCTGTCATCAGAATCAGACACAACTTCGTTTGTTGAATTACTGGGTTCACTAGAAGTGCCAAAAACGTTAGCCATAGAAAGCCATGGTCTAACAGAAGTGGAGTTAGTCTGAGACAGGTTTTCACTAGCATTGGTTGCATCAGTTACACTCCCACTGCGGATCATATTGGACATCTTGTTCCATGGCAGAACTACTAGATTATTGGTCAAATTCATGGGATTTAAAAAATTCATAGCATCTTCTTCGGTAACAGTTTCAGTATCACCGTTGTGACCAGCACTTTCGTCATTTTCCGTTTGCGTAATATAGTCAAATTCCATCCACCGGTAGACATCTATCAACGATTGGAGTTCTACTTCTTCTTTCAATGATTGGACATGAATAAGACCCAACTTCTTCGTCGCAGGTGTGAAGCAACCAACAATGAGGCCATGTGGTATCAACTCTTCTTCTAAAATCAACTTCCGAAACTCATCTTTGACTCTGTTTGACATGGAAATAGACGATTTTTTATATCCTTCCATAATGATGCTATTGAAACCTAAGTAATTGAACATATTGGGCCACTTGATGTTGCGAGTGGTCAAGTTTTGATTGTATTTCAGCAAGAACCCACTCCACCACTGTGACAGAACATTCTGCAAAACTTCAGCTCCTGCTTCTTCCTTCATGGTAGACAAAGATTTGTGAAACAATTGGAAAAAAACATGCTGTTGGTTGAGTATAAACTGCAATTGCTTAAGCACAATGCCATCATTGGACGCAATAGAACATATGAGACTGTACGACTCTTCAATTTGAATCGCCACAAAACTTTCACTTGCGGCACTTATCACCATTGGTCTTTTCACCTTTTCTTCTGGTTTAGAGGATGCAATAAACTCCAGTGAAAACGCATACACGCCTTGCATCAACCCTGCTAATCGTATCTTAACATTAGAACTGATTTCCACCTGTGAATCACCACTTACAAATACAATCAACTTTTTATCCAATTCTGCATCCAGCTCATCTTTTGTTCCTGGTACTTCACTGCTGGTATCAATGATAGCAATGTATTTAATTTGGCCAGGTTCCCCAGAGTTCAATGTCTCAACGTTTTCAGTTGAGTTCAATGAGGTCCTGAAACTTGGTAGGTAGTTTGTAAGATAACTAGTCATAGCAGCATCATATGTGTTTGACCTGAATAGTGGAGGGTGTCTAATCTGGGTAGAAATAAATTGGCTTGGCTGATCTTAGCTTAGCTTAGTTTAGTTTGGTTTAATTCGGCTTGGCAATTGTGTCGCGTGAAGCTCGAATAAAAACAACAAAATGAAAAATTTTGCCGGGTAAAGAAATAGAACCATCTTTAATTACAGTAGAATTTGGGCTTTACATTCTTTCTCCGGATATGTCACACAATGAATCAACATCCAATGTACACCTAGGTGGAACAAAAGAAAGTAAAAAACGAAGAAAGAAATCCAATGACGATTATGAAATTAATCAGTGGGCAGGTTTGATCGATGACAAGCTAGGACTGGATGGCCAATCATTGGACAGCGGAATCTCACCCACGAAGAAAAGAAAGGTAAAGAGAAGCAGTGCAAGAGAAAGCTCTGGCGAATATCATGGTGCAACTCTACAACAAAGTGATTACAAGGAGTGTAATGGACACGGAATATCGCAGCCAGAATTTGAACAACACGTGGGCAACACGCTGTTGCAAATGAGCAACCCTGAGACTGATAAAGTAGCCGGTGAAGAATACCACCAGGGCCAGTATGAGACTTACAACAGCAGCAGTTTCCCCCATGTTAAATCAGGAGAGTTGAATGAAGAGCAACAAGCGAGATTGCTTGCAGCAGCTAATGCAATGGTGGAGGAGGACATGATTCCAATGTCCTCAGAACCTGAAACATCCGCAGCTAATGATCGATCTACTACCAATGAGCTTGGCAACACCTCTTCAAGGCCGCAGAAATTTGCGCATAAAAAACCTAGTCAAGTTGGACCCCCTGACCTTCCCGAATACAACTTTAGCGGTATTCGAGACGTTGATGATTTAATCATGGAAACATCGCGAAAGGCGAACGAGTGGTTTTCAACAAAAGTACCAGAAAGTAAGCGTGGGAAGCCGCGCCCATTCACTGATGAAGAAGATGCAATTGTTGACTATTATTTGGCGGGGTTTTGTCATTTGAAGAAATGGAACCGAGATGATTTGTGCAACAGAATATGGACCAATGATCGTACAAAGGATAAATTTTGGAAAAAAGCATGCAAAGCAATTCCGTACCGAACACAATCTAGTATCTACAAACACATCAGGAGACGCTATCACATTTTCGATGTAAGGGCAAAGTGGAGTCCCGAGGATGACGAGAAACTAAAAGGCTTGGCCGTGACACATGAGGGACAATGGAAAACCATTGGCGAAGTAATGGGGAGAATGCCTGAAGATTGCAGAGATAGATGGCGTAATTATATTAAATGTGGGCCAGGAAGAACGTTACAAAAGTGGACCCAGGAGGAAGAAACCAAGTTGATAGACATTGTGAATGAGATGTTACATAGCCTAAGAACTAAAGACGGGAAGGATAGTGATACCTCTAAAATTAATTGGACAGTGGTAAGTGAGCGCATGAATGGAGCACGCTCTCGCATTCAATGTCGTTATAAATGGACAAAATTAAACGAGAAGCAGAACCGCATTGCTTTACCAAGAATGAGCTACGGGACAAAGCTTTGGCTTTTGCGAAAAGTTGCAAAGAAACGCGTAAAGTCATTGGACAAGGTGAAGTGGCACAAGGTAATGAAAAGTTACTTGAAAGACGAGCCAGACAACGCAGGATGGACAAAGGATGAATTTGAAGCATACTTGCGTGATGTGAGTAAACACGATATCGACAAGCCTAATTTTCTAGATGCTGTAAATGAAGAAGTTACAAAATTGAAATCGTTGTCGGATGAATCTAACGTGTGAATTTAAAAGAGTTGTATGATATCCTTTAATCGTATATGAAGAGCTGTGTTAAAGTCACATTACTCAACACCACTTCACTGTGCTTTATTCTAGGGTTGAGCAATCTTTGTGTGTGTGTGACTCTTTTACTGTTTAGTAATGAAACAGCATAAACTACACCAGTGTGTCATACTTTATGATCTGTTGGGATATTTCGAATTCCCCATTTGAAGAGTTGGATAGCCAAAGACAATAAGTGAGACACGTGCTTAGTCACGTGCTGACACTATAGTGGTAGATTTTTTTACAGCCATCTTTGCATTGAACATCAACACCAATTTCTTGCAACAATAACAGAGATTGCTACCTTTTACAACCTTCGGTTGATAGGATACGTCAGTTTTTCATAAAGTATTTTGTTCTCCAGCGATGCCCAACTGTAGACAACAATGTTAGTACAAATCATTTTTTGGATTAATAGGTTGCAAATTTCTTTGGTATTCCCATTTCTCGAAAAATATAAAAGATCACCAAAATATGCCAGATTTAAAACGGAATACACTTTCTCTTCTTTTGCACCAAAACTAAAACTATTTTTACACATGTATGAATCACATATGTTTCCCTCACAAGAGGACCAAAGCGTTCCTTATTACAACCAAGCCTGTATTTCAGACGAGAAAGAGAAAGAGAAAGAGAATGAGTGTATGGGAGATGACACTATTGGATTCACATTGGTTGAGTCAGCATTGTCGGAGTTGAGAAGTTTGGTATCACATGCGTCTGACCTGGTTAAGATATTACCAACCCAAATTCATCCCAACATCCACCAATCCACTGGTGAGAGAAGGTTAAAGGAATATAATGAAGATAATGGATTCCACCCAGTGCAGTCACATATTAAAGTGTCAAAATTCATGGATTCAGTTACCCATACCAAAAAACAAGCTGCTGGTAGTCACTCCAACATAGTCCAACACACAAGCAAAAGATTCATGAAATCTAAAATGGAGAGAGAGGAAGAGATAGTCGATGATTATAGAGATGATTTTGAGCAGTTGTTTCCCCATGGTGACTATGAATTGGATAGTGATACATCAATGGCTATCGAATCATCAAAAATGATGTTTGCCAGAACTAGGAAGCATTCTCGGTGTGAAAGAGAAAATTCTACTATCTCCTTAGCAACAGTCAGTGATATTGACGACAAACCCAGCTCCACTACCTGCTTTAACCCAATGGCTACTACAATACAAACCCCAGAAAAACACACCAAACGGAGACTGAAGTCCTCCAGTATTCAAAAAGTTGACTTTGACACCATTTCCCAACCTAGTTTTGTCACATTATCAGTGAAGCGAATTGCTACACCTTGGGATGACTGTGACAATGAAGATGAAGATGCTCCAAGTTCTGAAAATTCCAAAGAGAGTACACTTGAAGAGAGGCTAGTGTCAAGTTCAGGAAAGGAGCCTTTCAACTTTGTGCTACCACTGCCAGAGGTACCATTGAAAAGTACACCAGCAGTATTACACGTTGGTGATGATGAATCTGCTCATCACAGGAAAGTCAGATTTGACAATAAGGTGGATGTACGTCAGTTTAGCGACGGTAAATGCCGTGATTTTACCAGAGTCATTGAGGGGAGGAAGAGGGACAAAAGACTCAAGAAGAAGCATACTTGGGGAGCTGCTGGCAAAACGTCAAAGGAGGAAAGCATCGAAAGGCCAAGTATTTTAAAGAGAACTGGATGGGTACCGGGGGAAAACATTACAGATCGAAAAATACCGTTATTTTCTCCTGACTCTGAACATGGTCGCATTGCTCTCCATTTTGGAATTGACCCGGATGATGATGAAAATGTCAGTGGTAGTAGTGGGTGTGATGATGATGACGATGATGCAGAAACAGATCAAGTGAGTCAAAAAGCCTTTTCTCCTACTTTGATAGGGTGTGATATGTGGGACGAGGAGGAGGAGTGGCGACCAAATTCAAAGTCATTTGCTGACACTCCATTGAAGAGGTTCAAGGTGAAGCTTCAAAGGTTTATATATGGGTTCAAGCTACATTCCGAGAAACTACACTACTTGGTGATACGCACTCAATCGGACAGTGTGTCTGGTCTGGCCAACCAGTTATTTGTAAGTCCAGATTTGAGTGAGACCGAATCATTTGAGGAAATAGAGCCATGTGTGACTGTTGTTCCTATGTTTGGACCCATGACTATGCGTTTTTGACCATGAAAGAGTTACACATTGTTACTGTCGTATTACTTCATTAAGTTGTTGTTATTGTTATTGTCTTTGTTGTTGTTGTTGTTGTTGTCGTTGTTGCTAGTAGATATTATTGTATTTCTATATACTTTGAAATATTCAACCCCATACTGTTATCCCTCATTGATTCTACTCTTGTAGATAAGGTTTGGTTCAATATATATTTGATAATACAAAAGCTATGGGTGAATTGTTACACAAGTATCATACGTTTTTCTTACAGGCCAAGTTCAGTTGTAATTACCGTCTGCTTTTTAGGAAATCAAAAGAAGATGAAAAGATATAGGCATCAAGTGTCTCTCTATGCATGTTGTGTCTAGTGCAAGGTCATACTTGAATTAAAGCACGTTTGGCAGATTTTTTGTGTCTAGATTTCTTACTTTAAGGGGCTGACGTATTTTGAGGAGGTAATTTTGTTACCATCAATATTAAATCTCACAATATAATATAATATAAATATCACATGGAAATATAAGTTTAGGAAACAATAACATATGGAAACAGAGATTTAGGAAAGGATAAAGTGGTTGGGTGAATTAATACTTTTCTTAAAGTTAAAAAAGAAAGCGTATCAAAAAAGCGAAAGAAAAGGAGGGGTAAACACACTTTACACATACAGAAAGATACCAAAAAAGATATGATCATTCATTTAAACTAAACGTCAATCAAATATATCAAAACATCAACGTAAAGAAAACACCCTCATATTATGAAAGAAATGGATGGGATGTTGTAAGTGTCATTTGAATTACACAAGCCAAAACGACAAAGATGTAGTTTATAGAAGAGAAGTTAGATTAGGATACATTACATAGGACAAGAGCACATAAGATAAGAGTAGAAAGTAGGTTATATTAAATTCGAGGAGAACATATCTATTATTCTGACTTTGGTTTTGCAGTGAGACCAAGACATGCTGTTGATGACAACAAATTTGAAACCATTTTACAATTTTTAAGTCTTGTCGAGGAATTGTGCCATGAGGAGGAGGGAACAGAGGATGTGGTAAACGAGACTGCCCCAGTTGCTGAAGAGACTGCCGAAGTAAGAGAGACTGTTGAAGAGGAAGGGAAAATGGAAGACAGAGAGTCAGTAACAAATTCGGTACCAACTGATGAAGCTTTAAGGGAGAGGGTATTTTACCGCCAACCATGCGACAACAACAACAATTGCGGTGTATTTACACAAGGTGCAGAGTTTTTCATTGCGCATGTAGATCCCCGAATGAATTCAGGGGTTACGTGCCTGGTCATATTCCTGTCATTCGCCATACTGGATTGGTTCCCTGCCAAACAGTCCTATTCTCTAGAACTGATCCATCGGATATTTCTGATCTTGCGTTATCCAGAAGACGCGTGAAGTTGGACCACCAGATTCAAAAGAGAACATTCAAAGATGGAAAGATTAGCGACGTTTTTGGTAGGATTGTGAGAGGCTATGGTAAGATTGACAAGGAGGAAACTCAGAAGCAACCCAGATTCCGTTTTGCGTCGGTCAAGAAGGTTTTGGTAAAGTTAAAATTGAAAAAGCCCACAAAG